GCATTCCACTTCTTAGTCAGATGATTCAAGAATGTTTCATAGTTTTCAATTAAAACAAATAAGCTTTTTAGGAAGTACGACGTAAGTATACATTAATCATTTATTTTTTTTCCAAAATATTCTTATTAAAAATCTATTTAACAATGATTATATTGTTTATATATCCTAGTCAATTATGAATATCTTTTTAGTTTTTTGTTATTTCTGTTTCTGTGTATTATAAAAATTCAAGCATTCAGAATTTAACACAAAAATAAAATTTTTCCGTAGTAACAAATGTAACGTTTGCAGTCGAAATTATGTAAGAAAAATACAATATTTTGCTTTGGCTTATTTGACTAATGTAAAGCATTCTAGGGCTATCTGTCTAAAAGTAGAGATACCTTCGTTGGAAGACTTTTTAAGAATTCAGGATTAGTATTCCATTATTTTAACGCCAAGACGCTTCCTGAAATCTTTGTCATAAATATTAAAATTTTAAAGCCCTAAATCATAGTAAATACAGTTTCTGAAACTTATTATATTCATACTGTTTTGCAGTCGAAGAACACTTTCTATTTTGAAATTTCTTGCTGTAGGACTAATGTTAATTTCGTAAATTAGTGTATGTAGATAAAATGATTTATATAGCATCTAGATATAAAACGAAACTTTTTTGGATTGAAAAGGTGACGATCGGTTTAGAATCAACAAGTTAAAAAATAATCGAACATAATATCCATTTGGAAATACATTCTATATAATTTTTCGAAGTTAAAGATGTCTCAACAATTCATGTAATGTTGTCGTGCTGAGTACATTTATAAAGACTTACTGGTTTATGCCTTGCGACCTGTGGTGGTGCAAGTAGTAGCAGTCCAATTAGTAAACTGAATGGATCTTCTTTTTTTTTTTTTTTCTTTAAAGAGAGGAGAATATATGGTAAATTAAGAGCACGTCCAGCATGAATAAGTTTAAAGATTCATGATTGTGTTCAAGGCCTCATCAATATGCCGAACAGTTAAAGATACCTTCTGAATCTGAATACTGGCAGTTCGACCTGGTTTGAAGTTCGATCACAAACGTCTCAGGCGAACGGGCTGACTGCATGGTTGGTTTTCGTGGTTTTCTTCATGTGCAATATGCTAGCTTTGTTCAGAATACCCTCACGAAGCATCCCTGCTCTTAGGTAGATAGTCTTCATAGCTTTCCTGTATTTAAAATATCGAAGCCGGCCATGACTGTGAGCCTGTCGAGTGCGTTAGTTAAGTTTACCTGTTTCATGGCTGTAGTTAAGTTTAACCTGTTTCATGGCTTTAAGCCCTAATGGACTCTATATATTATTATTATCAATGAATTCCTTCTCAGGAAGTTATCCTGAAATGTATTAACAGCATAGATTTTTTGAAGATATTTTTCTTTCTGAGAAAAGTACTCAGTAAAAAGACGGATTTCGAATTTGAAATTTTTATCACATTCGGTTAGTAAATTAATTGATGTAATATTATTAATGTTACTACTTAGTTAGCTATGCTTTCATTGGAAACCCTTTAAGGACATATTATAAAGGAAAAATTATTTTTGTTCTTTTTTTAAGTTCCTCTATGCATTATAATATTAACAAATAAAGCAATATTTGCGTTATTGCTGCCTTACACGTACTTATACAATAAAATAAGCACTATAACACCGCAACAACGATTAAATGCCTTCTTACATAACAACCCCAATTAAAACTACTAACTAAAAACAGCAAATGAATTTCCCAAAATGTAGACTTTTCTAGTATGTTGTAAAGTAAGCTTTAAAATATTTTGGAAGAGCTAGTCAGAAATTATGTGAAAGGAAGTGACTCAAGTTTTCATTTTTACAAACTTTCGTATAATGTATCAATTTATTTTAAGCCATTTTAACCAGTAATTACAACTTAATATTGTTTCAAATTAAAAATAATGAATGGAAGCATTCACAATGCTCGAGCACACCATATTTAAAACAGTACAAGACTTTGCTAGGAACTTTTGTTAGGAGGAAGCAACTGATTGAAAGCATGTGTTCAAATTATCACATCTGCCATTTATGTTGTGAGAAAAGGCACGTCTTTCGTATACGTATGTTTAAAAACTTGTTTTTCCGTTCCGTAAGTAAAGCAGTCCCTCAGGGGTGTAATTACTCTTAGGCGACAAATCTGAACTACTGCAGTTCTTCAAAATAGCGAACTGAATGTACCTACGATGACTTTACTGAATGATCAAAGCCTCTTTATTATGAACCATTTTAAGCTTTCCTTTAGAAATACAGAAAGTTTACAATGTACAGGTTTTTTACACATCTACGGCTAATCTATTTTTTAATCACTGTCATTTAACATAAATGTAAAATCAATTCAATATTTAGTCATTCCTTCGCGCAGCATGTCAAAAAAAAAAAAAAAATAAGATTCTCTCCAGTCATATGTTTCATGGTTGAAGTTGCTATGTGTATTTCTTTAATTTAATGCTATGGAAGTTAAAAACACGGCGATCATCTCCGTATGTGAAAACAAAGTTATGGTAAAATACTTGATCTCTAATACAAGAGATTAAATTTAAAATGTCGTGTTTTGTATAAAATAGTGATGTCTTGCAAAATCTTTTCCATAATATGTGACGATTTTCTCTAGAAGGACAAGCTTTTCTTACTGCTTAGACCTATGAATATTGGGCATAAGGCTCAGATTTTATGATCAGTTCTTGCTGACTGAAGAATGTAGAACTTTGATAAAGAAATTAAAATAAGGTTAGCTTTTATTATTTCGGTAATTCTAAATATTTTTTAAATTGGACTAATCCAAGTTTTTTTCAAAATCATCTAATGAGTCGTAAAGGTTCTTCAGATTGCTGACGAAGTTATCGAAAAGGAAACTGTATTTAATATGTTAATCAAGTTAAAATATCATTGCAACTATCTAGAAAACATTCAATCTAAGACTGATACTATTTTAGAGGAAATATATATGCATTTTAAATAATAAATAATACAGATCATTCTTCTTTATTATCTTTATTATGTGTCATTTGATAACGACAACTTCACCATTCGCCAACAATATATATCCAAAAAAAACAATAAATAAACTAAACAAGCATAAAAAAAAACTTTCATGCTTTTTTATTATTAGTATATTTCGTTTTATTATTTTTATTATTTAATTACTGCTATTTTTTTTAATTCAGATTGTAACTCCTAGAAAAGTTGCGGGTTACATTTCGGAAACTCAGATGTTACGTTGTACAGTATTTTAATAATTTATGTAACAAAATATGGAAATTTTAACTCAGCTCTTCGTTGCTGCTTGTAGTTTCATTGCGTTGAGCAAAGTAATATATATTATGTAAAGCATGAGCTCACAAAAAATCAAACTTATTAAAATTTTTTCTAATAAAAATCACATTCATATCAATGTACATTAAAAGCATTGGATGATTTAAAATGCATTAGAACAAAACTTCAGCAAACCAGTATAAGCGACGAGTATTGTTCCAAAAAGAATAATTAATTCACTATTATTATATTTACTATTAAATTAGTTTGTGTTTTATAAACCCCTATCAAGAATACGCTTATTACAACTTATTAAAATAGACTATTGATTTTCTAATTTTTATCTGACTTATTGCTTGAGTAATGTTATTGTTTATATGCAATTGTATGTAATTCAGGTTAACTGAATGCAGTGCTATTCAGTTCGCGCGAATTAATTGAAAGTTTTTAACTTGCCGGTTTTATGCATCTACATAATCATAAGTAAATTTATTTAAATAATGAAAATATTTTGAAATGATATTTTTTAATTGAATTCACAAGCATTTTGCATATTTCTGAGCATTTAGTTTGAAATCTAAAGGATATTTTATGAAAATGTTATCTGTTTAAAGATAGTATTGGAAAATTTTTACATGCTGCTTATTTATTTAGTGAAGAATGTTTCGCATCAGTTTGTCGTATGTCTAAACACTTTCTTTCTTTCTTGGCATAAAACGTAGAGGTCTAAAACGAAGAAGAGCAACCCTCTTAAACTCCTACTGAGAGATGTCATTTAAGAGATCTCCAGGGTTTCCAGAAATAAGGGAGGCGCTGAGACATCTGCACGGCCGCTTTAAGGCGGTCTTAACGCTTTCGAGGTCTTCACCACTGACCGCCTAGAACCATCAGTAACGCTTTCGAACACTTTTCCAGTGACCGCCTAGCAGCGTCGGTAACGCTTTCGAGGTAGTCCGTCTTGACCGCCTAAACCCGGTCATAACGCTCAGAGGGTTAAAAGTTTTTCTTTAGGCCTAGAGTTTCATATGCAACAGTCTTCGTTTCCTTAAAATCTTTTCATATTGACATAGTTCCACAGATCTCCAAGTTTTACTTCATTGTATTCGAAGCTTTTACGTTCAGCTTTTCATCTAAACTCGGTATCTGTTTATATATTCTTCCTTTAGATAGTTCGTTAAAATTGAAATGAAATAAGCGAGTGTTTAAATTTGTAACATGTGTGTTTCATTAAAATAGTGATGATAACATAATTCGTTGTGGGCCATGCAATCTTTTAATTATAACTTAAGCAAGAAAGAAGAAGGCGAGTGACTAATATTAATTTAAAGAAAACAGTTATAGTACAATGTGCGCATAGAGTTTTAAATTGATTTTTAGCTGATATTTTCAAAAAGGGCCAAAGTTATTGTTTGAAAAGCAAATACGGGTATAATTCTTGCATGAAATATATAAAAGGTCTAAACTTAAATTCTAATTTTGTTATCTTGATGCAGGTAACCATGTTACTTTTTCGTCTTCTAACAGCTTTTATTCATTAGATATACCATTTTTTTGGTATATCTAATGAATAAAAGGTTTTTGGTATATCTAATGAAAAAACTGATATTAAGTTGCATTAAATATCAGTTTGCTGAGTTTAAAACATGCCATTGCGAGCACTGTGTTGGTAATATACTTGATTAAAGACGTTACAAATGATTGCTTTCATACTTTCTCAGATTACTTCTCTGCCGCAATATCAAGCAGCGGGACAGCTTTAGATCCATGGGTCATGACTAATGAGCCTTCTCCATCTGCAATAGAAGTAGCCAAAGGTTTAAAGTGTCTGTCTAATTCCAGTAATGATCTAGTAACCTGTTTGAAACATCATCATCTGGAAGATATATTGCAGGTTCAAGAAAAGTTAAAACATGTAACTAAAATACTTTATTTCCCCTAAATCTAATTTTTATATTTTTATATAACTTTTATACTTTTATAATATTTCATTTTCGAGTTTAAGAGAGAATGATACTTAAATGGAAGTATTCAGATTCAGAAAATAAATACCTGAAACCAATAGTTCCTAAACTTTTTTTAAGCTCCATACCCTTCAGAAATGTTTGAACAGTTGTTTGCAGCCAGTACAAGTGTGCGTGTCCCACATACATATCTGTATTTCATTCCAGGATATACACTGGTGTGCAAAAATTAAGGACGAAGTCGAAAAATTAGCATATCAGCTGAACGAAGAGGCAGAGCGGACAGAAAGACCAATCAGGAGATTAAGTAAGGTGATGTACGGTAGCACATGCCCAGATATGCAGCTAGACGTAATGGGGGAGTGTCCGAGTAGTATAAAGCATGTTGTCGGTGTAAGATCAGTATTTCTGGCAAAGAGATTGCACGCCGTATAGCAGTTAAAAATCACACCGAGTTGCTGCCTCAGCAAGAAATGGCGAATAATCAATCTGTTAGACGACATCTGGATGCTTTTACCCGAGGTCGAATCATTGGGAAGTTGGAGGAAGGCCGCAGTGTGACAAGTGTGGCTGCAGAGTTCGGAATTGCTCACAGCATCGTTTCACGACTTTGGAGACAATTTCAAACTACACGAACAGCTATCCGGGGGTTTAGTAGTGGTCGTCCACGAGGAACCACACCCGCAGATGACCGGTATATTGGCTTACAGGCCAGAAGAAACAGGCGGCAGACAGCGGGAGAAATCGCTAGACACACGACACAGGCGACTGGACGACCGATATCGCGTTTTACCGTGGCCAGAAGACTGCACGGTGGTGGTCTGTTTGCACGACGCCCTGTACGGTGTGTACCTCTAACGCCTGCCCATCGGAGAAGGCGTTCTCTGTGGTGCCGGGAACACCGGAATTGGAGAGACAATGGATGGGGACGAGTACTCTTTACAGATGAGAGCAGATTCAGTCTGAGTAGCGATTCTCATCGCATACTTATCTGGAGAGAGCGGGGAAGCCGCAATCATCCCTCTAACATCATTGAAAGGGACAGATATGGAGGTGGCGGTGTTCTCGTTTGGAAGGCATCATGCTTGGTAGTCGTACAGACCTTCACATCTTCGACGCAGGTTCAGTCAACGGGACCCGTTATTGTAACGAGATTCTTCTTCCATATGTGCGTCTTTTTAGAGGCGCTATGGGTCCGCAGTTCCTTTTCATGGACGACAATGCACCATGTCATCGCACAGTAGCTGCCGAGCAGCTCTTAGAGAGTGAGGATATTGAACGTATGGATTGGCCGGCACGATCTCCGGATCTCAATCCCATCGACAATGTATGGGATTTTCTAGGCAGACGCTTGGCAGCTCGTACCTTACCACCAGTAACGATTCCGGAGCTTCGATTGGCGCTGCAAGACGAATGGGCAGCAATGCCTCAACAACTCATTGACACCTTCATTCTCAGTATGGGCAGACGCTGTGAAACCTGCCTAGCAGTCAGGGGAGATCATATCCCCTATTAAAGACCGGATGTTTCTTGCTGGACACCCATCACAGGGATGTTTTGGCCTTCAGTCGCATTGCGCTCCATGCTACTTTTTCAATAAAGCTTCTTTTTATCCCTCTGATTTCTCTTTTAGTAAGTGTTGCTTACATTACTCATGTCCTTACGTATTAGGGATCTTATGGTATTAAATGTGTTGATTTGGGAAGCTTTTGTACAAAGTTATATTGAAAAAACCGTCTCGTCCTTAATGTTTGAACACCAGTGTAGATCATTCTCTATAGCCCTCTGAAATGGGAATCTCTACCTTAAATTATCACAATAATTCATAGCCTTCTTTGGTGTAGGTATATTTGTAAGCAATATTTAATTGTATTCAACTTTATATTCAGGTTTTAATATTATCGGGAGATGAAAGACAACATACCTATAAATATGAGAAGTTAAATAATTATTAGGATCAGCTTCGAAAATTTCTGCATATCTGTAACGCATTCAGCTTTTCTTCTAGAAGTTTTGCGTAATCTTTCGATTTAGATAATGACAGAAAAATCGTTAACTGTTTTTCGTTTTGATAATTTCATATTATGAAGATATTTTCATTTTTATCATTCTGATTTATAATTTTGAGAAACGCTTCTTTGATATTTGTTTTTGTACATTTTATTTTATAAAGTATTTAGGAATTATTTTCTGTACATGGAGAACATTTTATATCTTTTTCCAAATACTGAATTTATTTAATTGAAGTAGTAAAATTTAATATTTTCGTGAAATCTTTGTTACTTTCTTTCTTCCTTTTTAAGGTAACATTTTTGCCTGTTAAAGATGAGACAGCTGAAGTTCCGTTCATTCCCGCTGATCCTCGTATACTGTATGAGAAAGGGTACCAGAAGAATGTTAGCTATCTGGCTGGTGTGACGGAAAACAGAGCAGCTCTTCAAGTTTCTCGTAAGTAGTGTTGAAATTTGGTATCTTTTTGATTTTTGCCTCCTAAAAATGATATATTACTAAAATTTCATTCATTCCTACTGATCTTTGAATATTCTATGAGAAAGAATATAAAAAAATATCAGCTATCTGGCTGGCATGAAAGGGTGAAAAAAGCAGTTGTTGAGGTTTTTTGTAAGTAATGTTAAGACACACAAGCTAGTGAACAACTTAAATCAATTCGAGAATTCTTGCATATAAATTAAACAGCGTATTCTACATAATTCCCCAATCATGACGCGTTCATAACAGGCAGTAAAAAGTAACATCCAAAAACGATTTTTGCTGCACTATTTACTGATGGGTCGTAAATACATGAACAAGTATGATGCGTCTGTATCATCTATGATGCCATCAAAATTATAAACATGTATATAGGACAGATATCGGTATATTCAAGCTGAATGAACAGCCGCCCAAAGTGTAGAAGACTCTGTAAATGATGATGCGGAGTACTTTTCTCTATATACATCGAACCCTTCTTTGCCATTTACACAATAGTACATCCCGACTGTAGATACAGCCCACTAATCATTGCATGGCCTAAGTTATCATTAAAATGACAAGAATATATTTCAGCATTCATTCTCTGGCGAGAAGATTGATTAGCAAGCAAAAATGAATCGCTGCACATATATCTTTTTCTTGGAAGTTAATGACAAAATATTTCATTCCCAGCCACGGCTGAACTTACAAGTATATATATTGTTACGTTTTTCTCTTCCTGACACCAGTTGTTACGTTATTTTTTTCCTTCACGTTCGTACGGGGTTCGTAGATTTGGAGTGAATAACGACGACACTTGATGAAGTATCGAAACACACTTTATTCAACCAATATTAAACAGGACAGCTCCAATAACACTTTTTACAGTCGTCGAAAATCTACTATAAACACGCTGGAACAATCAGCGACACAGCCTTCACACTGTCAGACAATAACGGTGGAGATAGCTTCACTGCAAAGCACCAGAGTACAGCTTCCGACTCTGGTCGTTCTCGGAACTCCACGTACTCTCGAGACTCTCCACGGGATGCACTCGACGATACATAAGAGTATAGCTCTCGACTCACCACAGTCTAAGACAAAACTCGACGATGCGCTAATTCGCGATGCACTAAAAGACTCTCTCGATGCACTTGACGGCCAACTAGGCGCTAGACTTCGAGACACTCGCTCAATGACTAACTATCAGCTCGCTAGACGAGGCACACACACTAACTGACTGCGGACCAGCAGGGTTTATATAGCTTTCTGCTTGTGTTCGAGAACATTCTGGGCTAAACCGGTAAGAATTCGTTCCAGAAGGTTCTCCATCCGTCCATGGTATATCGCCAATTTTGTCGTCAAATGTGACAACCCTGCCTTCCCTTGCCATTTTTATGGCAATCCTAAAACTGCTTTGAGGGGAAGCCATCTCACCGCGCCTGTACATTTCGTAGCAATATTACAGGCTATGGTTCATTCCAGAATTACTTCAGTGCCCATGACATTCCTGACAGACTAATATTTGTGGCATCTGATCATTATTTGTTTTCCCTCCCACTTATAAGAAAACTCCACATCTAACGCCCCAGCAATGATCTTAAGACATTAAAATGATTCATAATAGATAAAGGCATCTACATAACAAAATTTTTAAAAAATACTATCAAACCAGTAACAATAGCAGTAGATTTATGCCGTAGCTGAATCTCAAAATCCTTCCCAATCCTTCAATATAGACTTAAGCAAACTCTAAATTTCCATGGAAAGAGTCATGTGAATTTATAACAACTGTAGAGACATTACGTAATTTCGAAGCAGGAGATGTGAAAAATAAGCAATGCCCTCGCCGGGAATCGAACCGCGGACCTCTCGAAAACTCGCCGAGCGTGATGAGCACTACACTACGAAGGCATGCTAAGAAGGCGGGAGAAATACCTTATACAACTTTAAGTGCTCATTTCAGCTGATCCTATTATACATATTAATGTAAGCAATCTTTCTTTTATACTTTTAGTGGGAATCCATAATGGCTGTCGTAGAGTTCTTCCTGACCCATATAGTTAGTAAGAGAGAAAGATGCTTGATAACTTCTAGTAAAGCCTATTAGTACTCTATGTTTTCACACATATCTGTATCTGCGCAGAAGGATGGCGAAAATAGGGGTATGAAAGGGATGTAGCTCTACAGGGCCAAAAATGTGTGTGTGTGTGTGTGTGTGTGTGTGTAAGATATAAAGTGTGAAAGAAAACACTATTAATTATTTATAATAATTATTTTGGATTGCGTCTTTCCAAATTAATTCGTTTCATCATGATGGAATGTGGATGGCTAGGATTAAAGAAACTTTTTACTATAAATATCACCGTTACTACTGTGCAACCTCTTTTTCTTTACTTCACTTGCTGCTTGCCAAGATACATGTATTGCCTCTGCTGTTTATCGCCATTATCTAAAGAGGAGTGAGCTGTATAAAACTGTGGGGTGCATAGCGCACCCATAATGATGATATGTGAACAAACATCAAAATAAATTATAAATAAATTATAAGCCAAATAAAACCGTGTTGAATCAACGCCATCTCTGCTGAAGTTTTTCTTCACCGTTATGTTATCTTAAGTATCTACGTAGCTGCTTTTCTAATCCTCAGTTCATCTACAAAATTATTACAGATACATATAGTTTCACATAGGGAACCTTAAGTTTCGTTGACGTATTCCTGACTTTACAAAACAAATGGTCAGTTTTAGAATTAAAAGAAAGAAAATGCTGTTTTTTTATTAGAAGAGAGCAAGAAACATAAAATCATGATGGATATGGTCCGTGTCTTTCACTCAGTGATATCACATTTGCCGACACAACTGACAAACTCTTATCTCGTAGACAACCGAATAAAGTAGCACTTAATAGATTTACATCATATTTTCACATCTGTCTGTTTATTTAACCGATAGCTAGGAGTGCATAGATAACAGAAATTTTTCCTGCAAGAAGAATTCTCTTTGTAGAGCTTCCGTTTCTTAACATCCCATAGAATTTCACAATCTAAGTCAGGATTCGGATTACAAAATTTCGAGGATAATTTACCCTCTTTTGAGAAGTTATTAACTAGACCAACTGTCTAACTCTCTGAGACTTTATTAACTAGAACACGTCATTAAAACTACAGTTAAGTAATGTCAAGTAAAAGGATCTGACATACCATTTTTACAACGTCGTGTTCATAAGAACCTTGACAAAGAAGGATAAATTTGCTTCCAAGGTGATATAAACAATCACATAAATATGACTGATTCCAGACTTTTCTTGATTTTTTAAAAAATTTATTTCTTCCGCATTGTCTTAAAACATTAATCTTTTGAAAAATGTATGTTATGTTTTTGTACATGCTATACATGATGCATTCATTTGATTAAAACGGAACGAAGGAAAAGAAAATGTTAATTGTTTTGAGTACACAAACAGTTATTTTCAATCTCTGTTTAGGAATCGATTCTTGCGAGTAAATTTCGAGAGAGTAAATTTCGAGAATTTATGACGTTTTGGTGAAACTATGATGGAGAAAATAGAGAGTGCGTGCGCAGTGAGAAAGCAAATAATGTCTTGTTTTTTTAATGCGGCTTGGTTTTTATGTGATTACGAAAAGTCTCGAGGAAAGCCTGCCTAAGGAAAGGAGTGATTCCGTGGAGGACTTTCTAAGGGAAACTGATTCGTTAACACGTTACACATGGGGAAAACCACGAAAATGCCCATGCAGCCAGCCCGTTCGCGGGATTCGAATCTCAGAGCTAACTACCACTAATCAGCGACTTTACCGCTCGCAAATTGGTGAGCTTTTTAACGCGTACTTGCTATGTTTATTTTAGTGTCTCAGTAATGATATTTTTGCTGTGGACAAAATTGATTTTGTATGAAACTGAATTAACAAAACAGGTTTTTAGTGAACTGAATACGTTCAACTCGATGATTAGTTTGGAGAAGCCGATTTCAATTCATATTTGGTAGACCATTTTATATTTATCTATATTTAGTTTATAGTAAAGTATGGCTATTCTTTATAACCTGTGTGTATGTGTGTGTGTCGGGAATATATTACGTATGTATCTGCTATTTTTTACATCATAAAAATACTGTTATACAAATATATGCTTAGTGACTACTGTTATGGCATGCAATATTGCCATCAAAATGTTCGTTATTATGTTGCACAACATGAGCTAATGCAATCAAAAGAAAAATAATGCATAAAAACTGAAATATTGCAATGTATAATCAGTAGTTAAGTAAATTAAGTACTTTAACTAGCGGGCAAGCCCGCCAGCTGAGCGGGCTGAAGCCCGCTTATCATTGTTCGTTTTTAAAAGATATCCTATGTTAAATTTGGCCGGTATTGAAAAGTTGAACCGAACTACCATTTTTTAGCGGCATTCCGCGGGCTTCCCCCGCTTTTTTCACCTATGCATCCAGAAGTTACCGCATACACTATACATATGCGGAAAATCACGAAAACACCCATGCTTCCAGCCCTTTCGCGGGTATTCGAAATTTGGACCGAAATACCAGTGTTCAGCGCTTTTGGGCGGGAGCCCGCCCAAAACAGTGTTCACGTGTGCATGCAAAAGATACTGCGTACCCCGTACACATGCGTAAAATCACGAAAACACCCCTCCAGCCAGCCCGCTGCCGATTCGAAAGTTGGACCGAAATACAATTTTTCAGCGATTTTGCGCGTGCTGTGCCCGCTTTATTCACGTATGCATGCTGAAGATGGTGCATAAACGATACACATGCGTAAAATCACGAAAACAAACATGGAGCCTGCCTGTTGTTCGCCGGTATTCGAAAGTTGGACCGAATTACCAGTGTTATGTGGCTTTGCGCGGGCTCTGCCCGCTTTATTCACATATACACCCAGAAGATACTCCATACACTATACACATGCGTAAAATCACGAAAACACCCATGGAGCCAGCCAG